AAAGTTGTATTCTGTCCTTCCCCTATGTTCATCTGTTTTGTTTCTTTAATTCCACATATGAGTGAGATCATATAGTATTTGTCTTTCTCCGACTGACTTATTTCACTTAGCATAATACCTTCTAGTTCCATCCACATCGCTGCAAATGGCACGATTTCATTCTTTTTGATGGCTGAGTAATATTCCTCTGTGTGTGTGTGTGTGTGTGTGTGTGTGTGTGTGTGTGTGTCTGTGTGCACGCGCATGTGTACCACATCTTCTTTATCCATTCATCTGTCAATGGACATCTGGGCTCTTTCCATAGTTTGGCTATTGTGGATGTTGCTGCTATAAACATTGGGGTGCATGTGCCCCTTCGGATCACTTTGTATCCTTTGGATAAATACGTAGTAGTGCAATTGCTGGGTTGTAGGGTAGGTCTGTTTTTAACTTTTTGAGGAAACTCCATACTGTTTTCTAGGTGGTTGCACCAGTTTGCATTCCCACCAACAGTGTAAAACAGAGAGGGAGGCAAACCATAAGAGACTCTTAACTATAAGAAACAAACTGAGGGTTGCTGGAGGGGAGGTGGGTGGCGAGAATGGGGTAATTGGGTGATGGGCAATTAAGAAGGGCAATTGATGTAATGAGCACTGGGTGTTATATGCAACTGATGAATCACTAAATTCTACCCCTGAAACTAATAATAAACTATATGTTAACTAAATTGAATTTAAATAAAAAGTTAAAAATAAATAAAAAGATTTCAAGACATAATAGCCAAAAAAAATTATATTCTATATTCTATTTAAAGTGAGTCTTGATGAACCAGCCTTTACCTTTCATGAGGCATCACTGTCTGCACTCTTTTCTAGCAAACTAAGAGCCGTAGTGCTGTCTGACAATAAACTGTTAAAATGGAAATAGAAATCCAGAGTAGAGACAAAAAATAGAAGTTTGTGTGTGGGCCATAGCCATAAGTATGTTTCTGTCCTGCAGTTTGCTGCTGCAGTTACAGTTGTGTAAGGAAAGGCAGTTTGGGGACCTCTGCAATTTAATAGATTCTTAAAGATGCCACCGAAATTATAGACACAATAGAGTTTACTACTATGCTGAAGAAAAGTGAGGAAGTGTCTGTCATTTTGTACCATTTTCTGATCCATATAAAGAAAGAAAGAAATGTAAGTTCTCAAAGTAGTACACTTAAGTTCTTCAGAGGTTTGGGGTTTATTTTGTTTTGAACTTTTGATTCTGAATTTGGTGTCTGAAAATCATTTCTAGCGTATCTAGGCTTATGTAATAAGAATTTAGGAAGTTCCCAGGTTCTAGGCAGCAAGTCTGAAATTAAAGATAATAAACACTCTTTGGTTTTTGGTTTTATTACCCTGACCCTCAAGAACCATTAATCTTAATGATATGCCAGGGGATGTTCATCTGGAAGATCAGTGCCCTGATACCCACATGTTTCTCCTCCTCCTTCATGTTTCCTATGCCATAGACTGTCAAATGTTTTTAACTACAACCAACAGTTAGAAATATATTTTACAGTGTGATCCAGTACGCACTGCTTGCATGTAAAAGTTTTACAAAATAATATTCATTCTTACTTTATATGATACATTCCATATTCTATCCAAGTGGTAGATAAAACCCATTAAATTGATTTGCAGCTCATTAATGGGTCATAATCCAAGGTCTGAGAAGTATGACCTTATACCTGCTAGGTGAGATGTAGGCTTTAGCTTCTACTGTCTTTTTTTAAATCAAACTTTAACCCAAATTTCTGATACCATGTAGGAACCAGAGCTAAATTCAAACTGTGAACAATTCTTGATTTGCAGTAATATAAGATCACCTGCATTTAGGTTTTATTAATGCAGCTTATATTACAGAGTTTCTATACATTTTATTTATTTTTTAATTGTGTCTCTATTCATCATGTTTTTAATAGTAGTAGGAATAATGCTAACAGCTAACCGTAATTGGGTACTTAATAGGCAAACACTGTGCTATGTGCTTGTTACATGAAGTAATTTACTTGAAAATACTTTCGCATTCACTGTGTGGCATCATGTATGTGTGTACTAATTAGGTTAGAGTTCAGCACTAGGAACGGCCGCAGTTGCTCTAATGGAAAATTCTCACCCAAGTGTTCAGCTACTATTTTATCAGAGAGGAAATACTCCAGAGGCAGCTCCAACAAATGCTTTTGTTATCTGTATCTCTGTCAACCAGAGATTTTGCTTATCAGCATAATGAATTCTGAAATAGGTTTTTATTGATGAAATTGCTGACTTACTTTGCATGTAATAAATGAATTCTCACTGATCAGTAGACTGCCTGAAAACTATAGAGACACTTCCTACTTGCTACAAAGAATCTAGCAAATCTAGCAAATCCAGTGGCTTGAATCCGAAATCGCCAGGGCTGTGCTGGAGGCTCATCCCTACATGGTTTTGTGCCCTGCTGCTATTAGGAGGATCTGTGGTTGCCTGAGGCTGACTGTTAAGGGTCACAGAAATCCTGTTCCGGAATGTTGCTATGTGTGCTCTGAGAGACCACATGCAAGGGGCTAGTGAGATCACTGGAAAGGTCAGAGCTGGGACTTTGAGCTGACAGGATAGGTTGTGTAAACTATTTTGTGTGTGACTTACTAATATGTGTTAAGTTAAAAATACCCATATGTGTGGCAGCTTGCTTTTTCATTCAAACCTGCTGGTCAGCTGGTGGGGATGTGGCTCACCTTCACCTACCGTAAAATTCTTTCTTTGGCCACTACACATTATCTGCCTGAAAGAATCTGAAACTTATGCATGACCACCCTGGTGTAGTCACTTGCCAACAGTCCTTACACACACCAGCTCACATCACTCCCACAATCACCTCGGATAAGGAAAGTGAGGTTCCTAAATGATAAGTAACTTGCCCAAGTCACATAACCCAGGTTGCAGAGCCAGAACTTACACCAGGCTGGCTTTTAGCCACTGTGCTGAGCTGTAATGGGAGTTCTTCAGAAAGTCTTGTGCTCTAGTATCAGCCCTGTGGCTCACTAGCTATGAAAAATTTAGACTAAATGATCTCTGGGGCTCTTCTCATTCTAACATTCAATAATTATCTGATTTATGGTAGTGAAAAAAAAAATTCTCTGATTTTGAAACGTATTCAGCTTTAGAATCTTGAGCCTTCAGAGGGGTACCTTAAGATCAACATTTCCCCAAGGGTGGCCCTCTAAATTACAGCAAATTACTTCCTTTAAAGGAAAAAAAAAAAAAAGATTACTGGACCTCATCTAATTCAGAATTTTTAAGAATAAGACCCTGGAGTCTGATTTTTGAAACATACCAATAAACAGTATTATGCACCTGAAAGTTTAGAGCCACCATAATACAGGCATCCAGAATCACCTCCTGGTTTCCAGAGCTGCTGGCTCACCCACCCAGGTCTTTAGGGAAGCTTTTGACCTAGCAGAGCATTCAGGCAAGTTTTGTGTAAGCGCTTTTTTATGATAATGGAAACTAGTCTGGATCAACTTGGCTTGGTTGGTTTGGGGTGTTGTTTTTTTGTTTTGTTTTGTTTTTAACTTTATTCTGGCCATGATGTGGATACTTTTTATCTCATTATTAGCCAAAAGGAGATACTTAGGACATAGATGCTCATGACATACTACAAAGTAGCATAAAAAGACAAACAATAAAATTTTTAAAACAACTCAGTAGGCTTGAACTCCGATTTCTTGGAATCATTCACCTCCTCTTTCCACAGCTTCAGTATGTGATACTGTGGTTGTGTCTAGGAAGGACAAAAACTTGCTCCTGTTTTTCTAATCTATATCTATATTTGTGCCTGAACTTCAAAGGTCTTTTGAGTTCCCTTTGCATCAATGTGGTTAAACCACAGCATTTGGATGTGGAAGTATGCCAGTATTTCACAGGGCATAACCTGATCAAAGGAAAGCCATTCACTTAGTGCCCACCCATCATCCCTAGCAGTCTCTCCAAAAGGGAAGCTTTCTTTTTTAAGCTGAGAGTAAAGTTTAAGCATATTTAAAATAATTTCAGCATGCCTGGTATTTGAAAGTTGTCCTTACCTAAGTCCCTTCATGAAAGGAAATATATATGATTTTTCCCAGAAAATCTTACAATATAATTGATACTGTGGAAAGATTTTTGAAAAAGAAAGAAAAGAGGGGTGCCTGGGTGGCTCAGTCAGTGAAGCCTCCAACTCTTGATTTCAGTTCAGGTCACGATCTCAGGGTCCTGGGATCAAGCCCGGCTCAGCGGGGAGTCTGCTTGTCTCTCTCCCTCTGCCCCTCCCTCCCCTCCCCATCATGCACTCACACTCTCTCTCTCTCAGAAATAAATAAATAAACCTTTTTAAAAAATAAAATTAAAATTAAAAAAGAAAGAAAAGAAAAGAAACACAAGATAAAATCACCGCTTTCCAGAAGTCAGCACTCTGAAAGGGACAGCAACCCAAATAGAACCATAAGCACTTACCCAGAAGTTGTAAGGCCAGGGGACAGGTGAAGGCCAGGGGAGTTTTGGCAGTACCCTAGCGAGGAGGTTTCAGTCCCCGTGGCAGTCCTCAGCAGTCACCATTCTCAAAACTTTTAGGAATGCTTTAGATCTCACCCTGGATGATTTCAGTAGCAAGCCCCTTTCTGTTCAGTCCTGTAAAGGACTAAATCTGAGCCCCACAATACTATGTCATAATGCTATTTCTAACCAGAATCATAATCCTAGTCGCCAGCATCTGTGCCAGGTGCCGTCCTAGGTGCTTGACAAGCACTGCCTCACTAACACCTCCAACTCCCCTTTGAGACAGTTATTTTAACCTCATTTTGAGCAGATGTGGAAACTGAGGGTATTAGGGTTAGGTCACCTGACCATATAGCTGGTAGATGGCGTGGTCAGGGTTTAAACCCAGGTCTCTGACATCAAGGACCAGATCCTTTCCATCACACCACCCAGGCTTCTAGAAATTTCTAGGAAGGGTGTGTTAGCTGTCCGCCGCTCGTTCAGCCTCAGTGACGGGGCAGGAGCAAGAGGAGCCGGTGTTTACCGGCACCAGCTTTACTGCAGCCGAGTTTGGCTCATGGTGGCACCTCGAACGATATACAAAGTCCTTATCCTGTGTGCTTCGAATGTCGACTCTTAGTGGCATTAAGTTAGTGCAGACTTTCACTTCCCGAGTTTCATATTTACTTCAAAGTAAAAACCACCCCATCATAGTGGTAGCTCTACAGAGATCAGTTTTACGCATTAATAATCCGTAATGCACCCAAAGTCACATACACTCCATGCTTCTGAAAGGGAAATGCCACAAGAAGGGAGAGGAGCCCGTTGTGGTGTTCGGGGGCTGGTCCTTTCTGATGAAGGCTTCGCCACGTCCAGGAGAGCCGACAACGGCCCATCTCCCAGTGCTTCCCACTAGCTCTGCATTTGCGGCCGGTTGCAGAGGGGTTTGGTCTTTATTATTATTATTAATATTTAGAAAGTTTGCCCATAGCAGTACTAAAATGTGCATCACAGAACAACAGTTGTTTACTGTGTTTGAAGTGAAGACCCTCACCCAGGAGATCTCATTCACTTGAAGTTCATATCTCTCCATCTCCACTCGCAAACAGAGGCCTGTGAATAGCAGTTGTCATTTCAGAGTTGCATCTCTCCAATTATTTATTTGGTCACATCTCTTCCCAGAAGTTCCCTTAATTGAACCAGATACTATAAACCCACTTGCATGTATTTAATGACAGCCAGCTCCATGCCTCTTTACAGCAAAGAATAAACGAGCCTGCAGCTGCAAAACGAGGGGGACACCCACCGCCTCCTTGTCCCCATCTACAGCCCCCATCCACACAACTCCAGCCATTAATTAAAGGTAGCTGCCCACTTTTTAAAGCCACGGGGTACTCGGTAGGTTTTTGACATGTTACTTTGGGGGCAAGTGGAGATGTAAACTTGGACACAACTCAAAAAATCTCTGGGTCCCTGGAAGCCAGCTCATTTGGAATGTCATCTCTCCTGAAGCCGTGGAGCACGGTCATGATAGTGAAGCCATGACACTTGCCAGAGCTGCCTTTGCTGCACGTTTGCTCTGTGTCCTAGCGCTGTCTGTACTACAGCTCGTCCCCCCTAGTACTAGTACTCTCGTACTGCTAGAGCAAACTGCCTAAATATTAGTAGAAAAACAAACCCTTCTGCACTGACAGTGAGTGCAAAACCAAACAGGAAGCACTCGTGCCAATGAAAAGGTGCTTTTAAAACACAGTCTCCTTGATCCATTCATTCACTCACCAACTGTTTACTTAGTGCCTTCGTATGCCAGGCCCTGTTCCAGGCCCCATGGGTTACAGCAGTGAACAAAGTACAAAAATGTTCTTGCCCTTATCTAGTTCCTTTCCAGTAGGATTAAGCAGACGAACAGTTAAACATATAACCATCTGGTGATGGTAAGTGTCATACGAAAAGAGAGAATTGTTATTACAGGAAGGAGAATAAGGAGAATAGGAGTGCCAGGGTGGAGGTGGGAAAGTTTTAGGTTTAGAGGGGCCATTGGATCAAAGACTGGAAGGACACAGTGAGCAAGCCTTGTGGGTATTTAGGGCAAGGAGATTCCAAGTGGAAGGGGCAGTGAGGGCGAAAGACCTGAGGTGACACTGTGCTTGGCCAGTTGGAGGATGAGGAAGGGGCCGGTATTCTGCGAGGGGAATGAGGGAGCGAGAGAGCTGCAGGAGGCGTGGTACAAGGTAATGGGAGAGGGGTGAGTGATATCGTGTAAGGCCTTGTTGGCCATTATAAGGACTTAACCTTTTACTCAGAATGAGAGCAGAAGCCATTGGAAGGTTGAGTAGACTAGTGACAACATCCAACGTCCACTTTGAAAGGACCCCTGTGGCTCCTGGGGCTGGATGGGTGGAGGGGTACAGCAGTGAGAAACAGGACGGCCAGTTCTGAAGCTTTAATCCAGACAGGAGTTTAAGGTCAAAGGTAATAGTGGTGGAAGTGGTGTTGGATTCTGGACATATTCTGAACACAGAGCTATAGGACTTCCTGATAAACTAGATGTGCTTGTAAGGAAAACGGGAATTAAAGATATTCCAAGGTGTTTGGCCTGAGGGGCTGGAAGGATGGAGTTGCCATTTACTGGATTAGGGAAGATGGCAAAGAAACAGATTTTGGTGGTGGAAGAGAAGGATGTGGGGGCAGGTCAAGAGTTCCGTTTTGAACATGCTAAGTTTGAGATGTCTTCTCAACATCCAGTGGAGAGCTGGCCCCGTGAGTCTGGAGTTTTCATCATATAGAGGCTATTTTAAGCTCAGAGACTGGATGAGATCATTAAGGATCATGGAGATAGAGGAGAAAGACGCTCTGAGGACCGAGCCCTGAGGCACTGCAGAGGTTAGAGAGGAGATGAAATTATTTTTATAATAAAATGATATGAAATTCTAAATCAGCCAGACATATTGACATCCAAACTTGCAGGCCTGTATTTTTCTCCTGCCTCCCAAGGCTGAGGTGAACATTAAATCAGAAAAGTAGATGCGAAGACACGTTGAAACCTTAAAAGGAGCAGGCTCTCGTGTTCGTGTGGTGCCTACTACATGCTAGGCACTGGGTTAAGCACATACGTTGCCTTCTTAACTCAGGTAAGCTTCACGACAGCCCTGCCCAGTAGCTGTTACTGATCCCATCATCCAGAGAAGAAAACTCTGCTTCCGTGAGGTCAGATAACTCACCCCAGTTCACACAGTGGGAAAACAGCAGAACCGGCACACGGGCCGATCTGTCTCCCTCCAGAATCCTCCAGAGTCCTCTTGATCCCCCTTCTTACCAGACCTGGCTTCTCAGCCCAGCTCACATTAGAATCACCTGGGAGCCGTCCAATAACCATGATGCCCCAACCCCTGCCCACAGCTATTAACTCCGATTCTCTCAGGATAGAGACTTTCTAAAAACCCAGGTGATTGTGAGGTGTAGCTGGGGCTGAGAACCACTGCATTAGGACCGCGTTCTGTGTCGATGTGCATTTATGCACTATTGTGTTCCAGAAAGACTGCAACATAGGGTTATGCCTACTCATTTGTTGATAAAAGTGGCCATTTGTTTGTACTGACTTGTGAAAAACCACAGTTCTTTTCTTTTCTTTTTTTTTTTTTTTTTAAGATTCTATTCATTTATTTGTCAGAGAGAGACAGAGAGAGCACAAGCAGGGGGAGCGGCAGGCAGAGGGAGAGGGAGACGCCCCGCTGAGCAAGGAGCCCAATGCGGAACTCGATCCCAGGACCCCAGGACCCCAGGATCATGACCTGAGCCGAAGGCAGACACTTAACCCACCCAAGCATCCCAAAACCACAGTTCTCTTAGTGAAGTATTCAGAGGTCAAGGAAAACAGAGGGGATTAGAAAAACATCATTATTTCCAGAAATGGCTCCTAGGTCTTTCTTAATTTCTTCCTCTGCCTAAAAGCCTTCTAAATGAGGCCTTAACTCCCCAATTTTTATATCATTCAGAATAAATAAAGGGCGGGAGGGGGTTAGTAGGACATCACCTAGCCAAGTTAAACCACAGAAACCTCGGTCAACCTTTTTAAAACAGATGGATTTAGGGGGGCCTGGGTGGCTCAGTCAGTTGAGTGTCCGACTTGTGATTTCGGCTCAGGTTATGATCTCATGGGTCTTGAGGTCAAGCTGTGCATCAGGGTCCGTGCTTATCGGGGAGTCTGCTTGAGATTCTCTCTGTCCCTCTCCCCCTTACCCCTGCGTGCTCTCTCTTTCTGTCTCTCTCAAATAAATAAATAAATCTTTAAAAAAATAAAACAGATGGATTTAAGGATAAACAGTCCTGACTTCTAATCCCCAAATCAAAACTGCCTCATTCTTTTGTGTCAGGAGGCATCTCTTCTGAGGTTGATGTTCATCATAAACATGGTACCGTCAAGAAAAAAATTACTGCCAGAGGGTGATTAATGGCCATGTTGACAAAACAAAAAATGTATATTAAAAAAATACTGTGCATTTGTGTCGCAGCTTACTCACATTTACCACTTAACTAAGACTTGGAAGCCCTTCCGGAAGTCCCACTATCCACTAGTAAGAGGATCTCCAGTGCAAAATTTTAGGGAGCACTAAGTTTAGAGGGTGGGAGCTGTGCCAGAATCCATGAAAGCACATGTCCTATCCATCAGCTTCTCTTTGCCTTGGACTAAAAAGATTTCAGTGTTTTTCTTCATTTATAAAAACATATCTAAATAAATTCTGTAAAATTAAACAAGGCTTTCCAGAGCCAGAGTTCAGTGAGTTCTGTTCTGAGCCAGGGGCCAGTTCTGTATTGGTGACCATGTTAAACGTATTTGATGACCTTGTGTTATTTTTGTCATATGAAAGCCTCAGTCTATTTTTGATGTTTTCACATCCTGTGAGCATGAATATTAGCCAGATTTTCTCTTAAGGAGACAAAAGACTCTTCCTTCACAGCCTAGTAAAGGAAAAGAAGTAATCTCAATCTACTTCCTGCCCACCTTGTCTCCGTAAATATGGTGACCCCTCCTGGAAGACACAGCCAGCATTTGAATGAAGCCTCCGTGGCTCAGTTCTTTAATTCATTCTGGAATTCTCTGCTTGCTAATTACTCCTACAACGCTGTCAGACAGGTGAAGGTGTACCTAATCTTCCAAGGCAGAAACCTTCAATTGGTAGAGTTAAATGTTCCATTGTCAGCATCTGGTGAGCCAGCTCAGGCCATTCATTAAACGTCTTTTCCAATCAGAACGTACCTGTTTCAAAACAGAAATAACACCAGCTGCTCATTTTGGTCTTGTCTTGCATCTTTATTTACATAAAACTTTCAGCAAAGTGAAGGGCTTACAGCCCAGGTAACTGAAGACTAAAACACCATCTTTAATATTTTCCTAATGGGCCAAAAATGGTCATAAAACCACCTTTTATTTGAAGCAAGTAAAAGGCCGGCCACATAAGCACCTTTGTTGAAAGGAGTCCCTCTCTTTTCCTTTCAGACTTTTCTTGTGTAAATGTTATTTTTCTTAGGTTTCCCCCTCTGTTTTCGGTGTTAATATTATCAAGCATCTCTTTTCTCTGGGGTCCCTCAGCACTGTGACAAATTAGCATTCAGGCATTGCAGGCACAGAATTCTGGTTGAAGAACACGGATGCTGGAGCCAGTCTGTATGCACATCCCAGCTCCCTCCGGTCACTAGCTGTGCCTGGCCTTGGGGAAATTGGTCCTGACTGCTACCTCAGGTTCCTCCTCTGAGAAAT